TTATAAATTTTTATTTAAATATATAGATATTTGGAGGACCAAAAAAGTAACCGCCCGCAACAGACTGATAAAAATATGTGTTAGGAAAAGACAGAGAGTGAATTATCAAGTCGTTTTTCTAAACCTACAGTGAGTTGTCAGGGGAGCAAAGACCAAAAAGGATAATAAAACAAAATATTCTGAGAAAGGCTGAGAAGAAATGACCATTTTGTTGTTGTTGTTGTTGTTGTTTTACAGTCTCATTTTAATACAAACTGCCAAAAGATATCCTAATTTTAAAAGGAAAAAAGGATGGGCTGGGGATTTAGCTCAATGGTTCTGCAGCCTGCCTCCCAAGCCCAAGGTCCAGATTAGATCTCCAGCACCAAAAAACACCAAAAAAAGCCAGTCCCACTGTTGGTCACCAGTTTCACAATTCCACCTCATGAGGGTAGGAGCGATAGCTCTATCAATAGTCACAGACCATCCTCATGAAGACAGATGTTCCTGCAGCAGTCTCCAACAGCATCTATGTCACAGTTCACCTTAACCAGGTGTCACAAAAGAAAAGAGAAATCTCATTACATACACTAAAGATCAAAGAATCCGAAACTGAACACTTACCGCCTCTCAGGACTAATGACACCTGTCATTAACTTGTCTGTTCCTACTGAATTTACTGGTGTTTTAATTGGGGTTTCTTTCTGGCACTGGGTTCTGGCTATTAGAAAAACAACAAATACAAATCAAATGCTGCTGATACACTATGGTTTTGAAATGTCTATCAATAATGTATGTCATTTCGTTGACTCAGAAACACCGTAATCATTTGGCCAGTAAAGTTAAAGATTCTATTTAAAGAAATGTTGTCATGTAACTTATAATAAAAGCAAAAATCATTTTGCCTTGCATGTGTAGCTTTCTTGAAAATTGAGTTAATGTGTTATTTCATTATAAATATCACATGAAATCTAAATTGATCAAATAAATACAAATTTCATGAGTACCGATTCCTCCTTTCTATAAAGTCAATCTATATTTATACAATAGTGTAACTTACGCCTTTAATTGATATAGCATTGAAAGATATTATTCAATAGTCAGCCCTATCCAATCCTGCTAGGTAAAATGATAAGCGCATGTGAAATCTTGACCAAAGTTATTTGGTATGAGCTTTGCTATTTTTTTATATATTTCTGTTCCAGGATTTTATACTTTAGGCAAGGTATTTGCATCCCAGATAGTTTGTGGCAAATCTGCATTAACAAATCTGGTTACCATTGATTAGTTAACTTTTTGTTCATGATAAAAGTTTTGTGCCTTTAGAGATAATATTTGCTATATGACAATGAAGACCTAGTATCAAGTTTTTAAAAAGAGATTGAGAGTTTGACTTTGTATATAACTCTTAAGCTCTACTTTCATTAGTTTTACAAAAACAAGAAAATAAGATCAATCATAAATACCTGTGAAAACAGTTTTCATCTGTGTAGACTAAGAGTATCTACTACCATGTACAGCTAGCTTCTCACAACTACCACTGACAGGATTGCATAGGAGTCACAAAAATGAAATTAATGTCTACGGCAAAAATAACTCATAGTGAAAGTAAAATGCACTAATGAAACCTATCAATTTTAACTTCACCCACTTGCTCCCTAATGCAGCTCTTAGGTTTAAAAAAAACAGCCAGTAATAGTTTTGACCAATATAATCTCACAGGAACAAGATATGTAAACTGATGATACTTTAAGACTATAAAATAAATTCCAAACTACACACATCTCAAAACCTTAGAGTTGCATAAAAAGTAAAAACTATCAATAATGCAAATGACTGTAAGGTACTATTAAAAGATTTTTTAAAAATCTCTGAATAAGCTAAGACAAGCTAAGGTCCATCTTATTTCCCTGCTTAACCTGATTCATAAAGGACACTGCAGTTAAGAGAAATAAGGTCCTACTCTGTTCAGATGTTATTTCACTGAATCCTCATAACAAGCACAGGCAACTATACACACAAACAAAGTATCATCACAGCAAACTGGCCTTACAGCTTTGGGGAAAAGTATTATTTGAGTTGACAAATTGGAAAATGCCATTAACATAATGGGCCTTCCTAACAAATATTCAAGGATAGTCTTCTATAATATCTTCATGGATAATAAGTTGACCTGTTGAACTGACTGTCAGTTCCATTAGCAAGCTAGAAGCACAATAGTAAAAAGTAGTTTGGCAACAGTTCACATAGCAAGGCTTCAGAGTTTGGGTTCACTAGGGCTTAATAAAACACAAGGGAAGGTCACAATTACTTGAAAAAGGGCTAATAAAGCTTAGGGCCCATCTTTTAAAGTACAATAGACTAGATCAAGGTAAATAAAATTCCTCCAGGTACTAATTTATTCCTTCATTTGGCAATATGGCCCCTACCACCCACTATGAGAGGCTGCAATACACATGGCAGACAGTCTGTGCTGTTAACAATATTTAGTCCCTTACCTTGTGAAACCCCATCCTAGGAAACTGGGTTCAGTTATATATTTTAAGAGGCACACTGAAAAAGAGGAAGGTGCCCAGCCAACCAAAACCCTGAAATACCATAAAGGAAACATTTAAATAAATGGTAATTATTAAACTTGAGAAGAAACCAAAGGAAATGAGAGGACTGTGGTATCTGGACACAGACATAGATATCTGGAGGGCCTGCTGGGCATGGTGGTAATATAACAGGGCAGAATAGGACCAGATACCAGAAGTGATAAAAGGGCAAGCAAGATTTAAACCTGGATAAGACCTTCAGCAAATTCACTTCACTAATCCGAGTCTCAAGTTGCTAACAGTAAAAATGGGAATTGAATTAGATAAACTCTAACTCGTCTTTCAGTTTTGACACCCTATGATACTATGCATCAATCTTATAAAAGAGGAAAAACATTACCATTTGAAAATAACCAGTACACTTTCATTTCAACTAACAGAATAACAAGATAAAAAAGTGGGGAGGGGTTAGGGGAGCCGGGGATTTATCTCAGTGGTTCTATTCCCTGCCTCGCAAGCACAAGGACCGGAGTTCAACCCCTGGTACAAAAAAAAAAAAAAAAAAATGCAACTTGACTTCTGAGAAATTCTGGAGAGAAATGCTATTAGTAATTTCTGGCCTGTTAACAACCAAAAGAATGAAATGTGAAACTTTTTAAATCAAATCACTGCTTAAATCACTTAGCAAATACCTTTTGAGGGTGTAGTGTAATGATTTGGTGTAGTAAGTACTTCTCTTTTATATTGGTTCTTATTAACTGGAGTCTTAGGCTCAGAAAATATAAAGTTCTCTTCATTCTTTATAGTGGTCTTAGGAGTATACACATTTTCTTTGTTCTTTAATTTATTTACAGATGCTCTGCATAATACTGGAGTTAATGATTTAGACTCCAGGCCATTTGATTCTGTCCAATGCTTGGTAAACTGGAAAAAAAAAAGTTACTAGATAAAGCACAGTGAGGAAGAAAAGTCAATTTCTTTACAACATGCCATAATCACTTGCAAATTACCTTGCACTGTTTTTACTAAAATTAAGTATTATTTTAAAATGTTATTGGCAATACTAGGAAATTTGAAAATGTATATTAGTTCTCTTTATGGGTACAGGTACAGGTGGGTCACGTCAGTCCATTCCACTGACAGGTAATTTTCAACATGTTTCAGAGTCAGCATTTAAACATAACAAAAAACTTAGGCAATATTCAGAATGACCACAAATAATTCCTAAGAAATGCTTCCTATAGCTAGACTGCCTTGTTTTTCCTCTAACATGTACCAAAAAATAAAATTTTGATCAGTGACTACGCCCCAAAAAAGTTAAAAATACTCTTACAGAAATGATAAATTAAAAACATTTTTTTAATTTTTAAAAAAAGGAAAAGGAGGGTCGGGGATTTAGCTCAGTGGTTCCGCCACCTGCCTTGCAAGCTCAAGGACCCGAGTTCAAGCCCCGGTACCAAAAAAAAAAAAAAAA